CAGGTAGACGTCTGTATTTTAGACCTGCAGCATCTACTACCCTCTACCTATCTCTCACACCATTTAACATGATTTCCTATGGGACATGTTTACATCTCCGCGTTTTCACCCGGTACATTTTTTGGAAAGGGTCAGGGACTTTTTTGAACGAAAAAAGTTGCGTTTTAGGGTTCTATAGACTGAAGTGGAAATGCTGCAGAAACACATGTAGTGCGTATTTGCTGCGTTTTTGTGCCATTTTTTGTGTGTTTTACATTTTAAATCTGCCTAGCAACAAGAAGAATGTTAAAAAAAAGGGCAACATGAAAAACGCGCCAAAAACAGCACAAAAAAACTCAGCAAAAATGCAATGCAGAAATGGCTCAAACGTAACCTGCATAGGTGTGAAGCAAGACTTATTGAAACTATTAATATAATTCCATCCATGCCAAACCCCTGAAGGAAATCATGGTTTGCGTTGTAAAAATGTAGTGCATAAGAATAGTTTTTTAGTTAATTATAAGTTTTATTTTTCTTTATCTTTTCATAAACTTTAAAAAGAATTGTGTAGAAAAAAATCTATCTGTGTACTGCAGATATTATATGTCATCAGATACATGTGTTTTTCAGACCTACCTAGTAAGGAGAAAAACACATGAGCCGGGCTTCCTTTTCTTGCACCTTGTTACAAGACATTCAGGATCTGGGAAGAAAAGCTGTGATTGGACTCTGGGAATGTCTCTGTGCAGTACAGAAAGATCATCCTCATCTGAATTTTTTGGCCGTTCTGGGAGAAATCAGCCAGAAAGGTAACTGGAATTTATATTTGCAATTAGGGTAACCGTGCAAACAGAGGGAAGAGTCGCATTGTACAGAGGGGATGTGGTCATCTAAAACTCTAGAACAGGGGTGTCAAACTAATGACCCTCCAGCTGTTATGGAACTACAAGTCCCATCATGCCTCTGCCTGTGGGATAGTAGAAAAGGAGTGCCCGATGTCCAAAAGAATGCATTTTTGATGGTCGATTGAGAGGCATTTATTAAGAGTAATGTCAAGTACATCAAGCCAATGCGTTTCAGGAGAAAAGACTCTACCTTCTTCAGGGCTATTAAACAAATACAAAAAATATACAGAGAAACAAATATATGAGAAATTAAAAAAAAAAAAAAACCCAGTATGTATATTAAAAAAACAAAAACATATATATATATATATATATATATATATTACTGTATATACATACACACACACACACACACACACACACTATATTGCCAAAAGTATTGTCCCCACCCTCCAAATCATGTGATTCAGGTGTTCCAATCCCCTCCATGGTCACAGGTGTATACAATCAAGCCCCTAGGCATGCAGACTGCTTCTACAAACATTGGTGAAAGAATGGGTCGCTCTCAGGAGCTCAGTGACTCCAAGAGTGGTCCTGTGATAGGTTGTCACCTGTGCAATAAGTCCATCCGTGACATTTCCTGGCTACTAAATATTCCACGCTCAACTGTTAGTGGGATTATAACAAAGTGGAAGCAACTGGGAACAACAGCAACTTAGCCATCAAGTGGTAGGCCACGTCACATGACAGGGCGGGGTCAGCGCATGCTGAAGCACACAGTGCACAGAAGTCGCCAACTGTCTGCAGAGTCAATAGCTAAAGACCTCCAAACTTGGTGTGGCCTTCAGATTAGCACAACAACAGTGCGTAGAGAGCTTCATGGAATGGGTTTCCATGGCCGAGCAGCTGCATCCAAGTCTTACATCTCCAAGTGCAATGCAAAGTGTCGGATGCCGTGGTGTAATTCACGCCGCACTAGACTCTAGAGAAGTGACCAATCATGCTTCTCTGTCTGGCAATCTGATGGATGTATCTGGGTTTGGCGGTGGCCAGGAGAACGGTACTTGTCTGACTGCATTGTGCCAAGTGTAAAGTTTGGTGGAGGGGGGGATTATGGTGTGCAGTTGTGTTTCAGTGGTTGGGCTTGGCCCCCTAGTTCCAGTGAAGGGAACTCTTAAGGCATACCAAGACATTTTGGACAATTTCATGCTCCCAACTTTGTGGGAAGAGTTTGGGGATGGCCCTTTCCTGTTCCAACATGACTGCACGCCAATGCACAAAGCAAGGTCCATAAAGACATTTTGGCCCTCTTCGAGGCTCGGTAAGCTCTGACATGACTCCGTATTACTAGCGGCACACACCGTGAATGACGAACGTGAGGCTTCCCACCTGTTAGCTAGGTGTCTCATCACACAGTGGAAGCAAAACAATGTTGGACATCATGTTTAGACATCTTTAAAATTTATCATTATGTGGGTCTGTCTCAACTGGGTATGATCAAGTCATAAATTGTATTTTTATTTTTCAATAGGTGAGGGTCTGGTGGAGCAGATTCTGCTGGATGAACTTGGATGCTCACTGAGTCCAAAGCTGAGAGGTGAAAAAATATACAGTAATGTATAATGCAGTATATTTGATTAAAAAAAAACAATTTCCTCCAAAGTGCAGAGGTGGTGTTGTTATGTGTTCCCTGAATTCAGACTTTCCTCTTCAAGTCATACAATTCATGTACTTAGGATTCTAACTGGGGTCATACACAGGAGAGCAGAGAGAGAAGATCCATTAGAAAGCCAGGGTCAGGCCACGAGACAGGCAGAAGACAGGTCAGGGGACAATCCAAGTCAGTAACAAGAATCCACAGATGCAAAGAGAACACAGGAACAAGCTCACTGGAAAGCTGAAGATCAACCAGCAATTGCAGATAGCAGTAATGGGACAGGGTCGTCTAGCACCAAGGGCAAGAATCCAGAATTGCCCCCCTTTTCCACATTGTTAATATATGCCTTAGAATTGGTGTACCATCCTGCATGTATTCCCCCCTTGCTCATCTGCTTCCGGGGCAGCTGTCCCTCCTGCCCCCCCCCCCTTGTCCCAGCCCTGGCAGAGAGATACTGGCGTTCTTCTAAAGGCCATCTGGCACCAAACTGGGCTGGGATCTGTTGTCTTCTCATATATGAAGTCTACACAGGAACAGTTCATAAGACAAATCTGTTGTCTTATATCAATGATGGAGGACATATGACCAGTGTATATTTACAGTGGGGATCGAAAGTTTGGGCACCCCAGCTAAAAATTTGTATTAATGTGCATAAAGAAGCCAAGGAAAGATGGAAAAATCTCCAAAAGGCATCAAATTACAGATTAGACATTCTTATAATATGTCGCCAAAAGTTGGATTTTATTTCCATTATTTACACTTTCAAAATAACAGAAAACAAAAAAATGGTGTCTGCAAACGTTTGGGCACCCTGCAGAGTTAATATCTTGTACTGCCCCCTTTGGCAAGTATCACAGCTTGTAAATGCTTTTTGTAGCCAGCCAAGAGTCTTTCAATTCTTGTTTGAGGTATCTTTGCCCATTCTTCCTTACAAAAGTCTTCCAGTTCTTTGAGATTTCTGGGCTGTCTGTCACGCACTGCTCTTTTAAGGTCTATCCATAGATTTTCAATTATGTTGAGGTCAGGAGATTGTGAAGGCCATGGCAAAACCTGCAGTTTACGCCTCTTGATGTAATCCCCCGTGGATTTCGAGGTGTGTTTAGGATCATTATCCATTTGTAGAAGCCATCCTCTCTTTAACTTCAGCTTTTTCACAGATGGCATCAAGTTACCATCCAAAATTTGCTGAAATTGTATTGAATCCATTTTTCCTTCTACTCGTGAGATGTTCCCTGTGCCACTGGCTGCAACACAATCCCAAAGCATGATTGATCCAACCCCATGTGTCAGGGATGCGGGTGTGACCAGAAGTGTGTGGACTGACACAGGGAAACGTAGGCTTCAGATATAGTAAATAATATAATTTATTGAGACTAACAATACAAATATAAACGCAGTGCACCAAACCCCAAGCTAACACAAATACATACAACAAGGTGAAACAAACCCAAACCTAAACTGATATAGATACACAGGTACATACACATATAGAGCACAACGTAGTCAGGCAGGCCGGGTCGATAACTATCGGGCAGGTAGGTACAGGAGGAGCAGGCGGAGAGAATGGTCAGGGTCACAAGCCAGGGATCAAACAGGAGAAGTCAGCAGAGGTCAGGATCAGGCAGGGTCGGCAACAAGTCAGGCAGAAACAGGAACAGGAATGCAGGTTACAAGATACAGGGGCCCATGGAAAAACACACACCAAGGCCCTGACTGTGAGTCTGGCCATTCCTTAAATACAACCCCTGCAATCAGCTTCAGGTGTTTTGGCTGACTGCAGCGGTGAGTCTCTGATTGCTGAGAGCACCCGCTGGCCAGCCCTGGTACTGCAGCCCACAAGGCAGGTGAGTCCCACCACTATTGGCAAGTCCATTCCTGACAGTACCCCCCCTCAAGGAGCGGCCTCAGGACGCTCCAAATGGTCCTAGCTGGGCAAAATGTTCCACCGCCCAGGTCCGGTGACTGGCGGGATATCAAAGACTGGCACATCAGGCTGGGCACCGGACGGAGTCACGTCGGGCTGGGCACCGGACGGAGGCACGTCGGGCTGGGCACCGGACGGAGGCACGTCGGGCTGGGCACCGGACGGAGGCACTTCAGGCTGGGTACCGGACGGAGGCACTTCAGGCTGGGCACCGGACGGAGGCACTTCAGGCTGGGTACCGGACGGAGGCACTTCAGGCTGGACATCGGATCACCAGGCGGAGCAGCAGGCACCCGGGCCACCAGGCGGAGCAGCAGGCCCCGGGCCACCAGGCAGGGCAGCAGGCAGAGCGGCGGGCACAGAGCCCCCAGGCGGAGCGGCGGGCACCGGGTCCCCAGGCAGGGCGTCAGGCACTGGGCAACCAGGCAGGGCGGCAAGCACCGGGCCCCCAGGCAGAGCGGCAGGCACCGGGCCCCCAGGCAGGGCGGCAGGCACCGGGCCCCCAGGCGGAGTGGCGGGCACCAGGCCTCCAGGCGGAGCGGTGGGCCCCCAGGCGGTGCAGCAGGCACCGGGCCCCCAGGCAGGGCGGCAGGCACCGGGTCATCAGACATTGGATCGTCTTGCTCGACCGCGGGCACCGAATCATCTGGCAAGGCAGTGGGCACCAAGTCACCAGGCATGACAGCTGGTTCTGAGTCAACTGGCACGACAGTGGGCATCGGGTCACCAGGCATGACAGCGGGCACTGGGTCATCAGGCATTGGATCGTCTGGCAAGACTGCGGGCACCAAGTCATCTGGCAAGGCCGCGGGCACCGAGTCATCTGGCAAGACTGCGGGCACCGAGTCACCAGGCACAACAGCGGGCTCTGAGTCAACCGGCCCGACAGTGGGCACCGTCATCTGGTGGAACAGTGGGCATCGAGTCATCTGGTGGAAGAGCGGGCATCGAGTCATCTGGCAAGACTGCGGGCACCAAGACACCTGGCATAATAGGATCATCAGGCTGGATCAGTTCACCAGACTGGGTAGAGACATCATGCTGGGTAAAGACATCAGGCTGGGTAGAGACATCAGGCTGAATTGTGGGCGCCGAGGCACCTGGCTGAACCACGGAAGGCAGGTTCTCAGATGGGAGGCTGACCGGTTTGGATACTGGCAGGATGGTATTGGTTGGAAAGAATTTTTGCTTTTTTCTGGTTTTAGTTACTGGAGCACTGTAAGTAAACGCAGGTCTGTAAACAAATGGAGCAGCGGAAGACAGAGAAGAGCTGGAGGATGGAACAGGAGAGGGAGCAGTTGCTACAGAGGACTAGGTGCAGCGAGTGGGAGCAGGGGACTGGTATGTGGTAGTTAGCAGAGTATACTGGGCTGTCACTGGGGTGGTGTCGGGGATGCAGGAAGAGTGCCTTGAGCAGAGGAATGATGTTGCAAGCTGACTGAGGCTGGGTGTAACAAATCTGTCCATGTCTGCAGTACTGGTTTAACAAAACTCAGCTTACACATAGCCTGTCTGATCAAAGACTGCACTGCGTTTATGCAATCCATAAGCACATGTGATGGACAAGCTGCATAGTGCTCATGGAAACAATCTGGATCATCCTCCAACAACCATACCAGTGATTCTACTTGATCCACACTAAATGGGGGAAAAAATTAATTCCTGCTTTCAGGGGTACAGGACCGAGCCAACTCAGCACAAACCTGGATCAATGGCTGCACCTCAGAAAACTCTGTGCCCTGATCTACTAGACAATGAGCGATCCTTATACGCTCTAGCAGTTGATCCCGGGGATACTCCTTAAGAGTCTGATAAGCATAGTCTTTGTCATCAAACACTAGCAGAGATAAATACACAACCTCATCAAGATCCATCCTTCCCAGCAACAATAAGCCAAGATGGCTTCCCTGTGCAGCCACTTCTGGTCAGGATTGGCCTTGGTGTAATGTCAGGGATGCGGGTGTGACCAGAGGTGTGTGTACTGACGCAGGGAAACGCAGGCTTCAGATATAGTAAATGATATAATTTATTGAGACTAACAATACAAATATAAACGCAGTGCACCAGACCCCAAGCTAACACAAATACATACAACAAGGTGAAACAAACCCAAACCTAAACTGATATAGATACACAGGTACATACACATATAGAGCACAACGTAGTCAGGCAGGCCGGGTCGATAACTATCGGGCAGGTAGGTACAGGAGGAGCAGGCGGAGAGAATGGTCAGGGTCACAAGCCAGGGATCAAACAGGAGAAGTCAGCAGAGGTCAGGATCAGGCAGGGTCAGCAATAAGTCAGGCAGGAACAGGAACAGGAATGCAGGTTACCAGATACAGGGGCCCATGGAAAACCACACACCAAGGCCCTGACTGTGAGTCTGGCCATTCCTTAAATACAACCCCTGCAATCAGCTTCAGGTGTTTTGGCTGACTGCAGGGGTGAGTCTCTGATTGCTGAGTGCACCCGCTGGCCAGCCCTGGTACTGCAGCCCACAAGGCAGGTGAGTCCCACCACTATTGGCAAGTCCATTCCTGACACCATGCTTAACAGGTGGACAGAGGTTCTCTTCATTAAATTCTGTGCCCCTTCTTCTCCAAACATACCTTTGCTCATTCCGGCCAAAAAGTTCAATTTTAACCTCATCGGTCCACAGAACTTGTTTCCAAAATGCATCAGGCTTGTCTATATGTTCATTTACAAAGTTCAAACGATGATTTTTGTGGTGAGGACGTAGAAGAGGTTTCCTTCTGATGACTCTTCCATGAAGACCGTATTTGTACAAGTATCTCTTTATAGTGGAATAGTGTACCACAACTCCAGTGTCTGCCAGATCTTTCTGGAGGGATCGTGCAGTCAAACGTGGGTTTTGAATTGTTTTTCTCACAATCCTGTGAGCTGTTCTGTCTGATATTTTTCTTGGTCTTCCAGATCTTGCTTTAACTTCCACTGTTCCTGATGACTGCCATTTCTTAATTACATTCCGAACAGAGGATATTGACATCTGAAAACGCTTTGCTATCTTCTTATAGCCTTCTCCAGCTTTGTGAGCGTCAACTATTTTCAGTTTCAGTTTTCTGGACAACTGCTTAGAAGAACCCATGGTGCTGATTGTTGGGGCAAGGTCAGATGAGTCTGGGCATTTAAAACCTTTGAGATTGACATCACCTGGTCTTCCCAGACGATGATTGAGAACAATCCATGACACTGGCAGGTCTCAGCTTGGCAAAGGGGGCAATGCATGCTATAAATTCTGCAGGGTGCCCAAACTTTTGCAGACGCCATTTTTTTTGTTTTCTGTTATTTTGAAAGTGTAAATGATGGAAATAAAATCTAACTTTTGTTGACATATTATAAGAATGTAGAATCTGTAATTTGATGTCTTTTGGAGATTTTTCCATCTTTCCTTGGCTTCTTTATGCACATTAGTACAAATTTTTAGCTGGGGTGCCCAAACTTTCGATCCCCACTGTATATATGTACTTTTCCTGCAGCAACCAACAGTTCTTTTCCAGAGAGGAGGTCTGATACTAAAATTATTGTTCTCACTATGTTCACAGCTATACCTCACATGTGTGGTTTGATCGCTGTTTACATACACTATATTGCCAAAAGTATTTGGCCAGCCCTCCAGAGAAGAGAACTTCATGGAATGGGTTTCCATAGCCGATCATCTGCACTCAAGCCTTCCATCACCAAGTGCAATGCAAAGCATCGCAATTGTATACTACGTTTTTCAATTAGTTAAAATTATATGTATTTGTAGTACATTCCCAAATATCTATGTACAGAATATGTCACAAAGTTTTGCTTGAGCTAAATATAACATTGGCAATTTCTGACTTAACCTGAGTCATAAAATATTTCCATTATATCCCCAGATATTCAGAAAAAGCACAAACATCATCTGATGGAGAAGACTGAGACTCTAGTGGAGCATAGACCCCCAGGAACTACCCTGGAACCACAAAGATTCCTCATCAATGAGCGTTATGTGAAGCTGATTGTAGTCTCCACTGATCAGTTCCGGCAACGTCCCCAGAATGAGATAATACAGACCGGGGTAAAACATGAGGAATGCTTGAAGGAAACACAAACTACACTGGAACACATTTCCCCCAACAGGCTGTTTCGATGGGACCACCAGTCCCAATGTGTACCACGTGCAGTAATGGTGAGTGGAGTGCCAGGAATAGGGAAGACCACACTGATGCAGAAGTTTGTCTATGACTGGGTGACCGGAAAACACTACCAGAGATTTGCCTTTCTCTTCTTCTTCAGAATCCGGGACCTTAATAGACTGGGAGAGGTGAGCTTGGAGGAGATGATTCTTCAACAATATCCACATCTGAAGAGTCAGATTGGAGATATTTTACATGATCCAGAGAGACTTCTGTTTATATTTGATGGCTTGGATGAAAGTGTTCACCAAATTGATTTCAGATCAAGTAAACTGTCCAATCCAAAGCAGAGAATACACTTTGGTGAGATTGTGGTCAGCTTGGTGAGGCAGAGTCTTCTTAAGGGTTGCTCTGTACTGATGACCAGCCGCCCAACCAGACTGGCATTGGTTGATACCGGTGTGTTCCAGAGAATAGCTGAGATCATGGGATTTCTCCATGAAGACAGACGGATCTTCTTTAATAATTTCTTTGAAAATGAGGAATGGTCAGAGAAAGCTTTTCATTATGTGCAGGAGAATGACACGCTGTACACTTTCTGTTATATCCCAGCATACTGCTGGATCATCTGTACAGTGTTATCAATGTGCTTCAGAGCCCAACCAACAATCACCGATCAGCTGATGACATCATTACCCAAAACAGTGACGCAACTCTTTGTGACTTTTGTCTCCAACATTCTGGCCAATCACAGCCAGAATATAGATGGCGGTTACACTACCCGGGAACTGCTGACATCTATGGGGTGGATGGCAGAACATGGAGTCATGAATCACATAGTGGTATTTGATGAGCGTCATCTGGAGTCATTCAGTTTGAGAAATGATAAACATCTTTTTTCATCTTTCCTGATGGAAACTGGTCAGCCTCCTGATGTGGATTACACCTTCTTACATCTCACTCTTCAGGAGTTCTTTGCTGCTTTAGTCCATTTTATTGACTATAATCGTGACAGATTACAGGAAACACTTGATGAGGCTGAATTTTATGAAGATGGCCGTGCTGAAATTTTCTTCCGTTTCCTCTGCGGTCTCTCAGACTCTTCTACTAGATCCATGTTAAAGTCTCATGTGGGAGAATTGTCTACTCAGGCTGCCAGACATGTCATCACCTGGATCTTGGAGAAAATTACAAAACAAAGATCGGACACATCCATAAGAGAGACAGCAGAAATCTTCTTAATGTATTCTACTATCTCCATGAGAGCAGGAATAAGGCTCTGGTGTCACAATGTGTTGGATTAAAAAGAGTTGACTTTTCTGATGTCCCCCTCAGCCCTCTGGACTGCTCTGTGCTGTCTTTTTTCCTTCAATCCTGCAGAGAGATAGAAGTAAATCTAAGTTCCTGTAATATTCAAGAATTGAGGAAACTCATACCAGCTCTACACAACATCAAGAGTTTGAGGTAAAGTTTGACTAATAATATTAATCACGTCTGTGTTAATTTGGAATGACCTGAAATTTCCCCAAAAAGTATACTAATTGTTGGGGTTTTCAATATGTGGACTTTATACACTCAGGTCCATAAATGTTGGGACATCAACACAATTCTAACATTTTTGGCTCTATACATCACCACAATGGATTTGAAATGAAACAAACAAGATGTGCTTTAACTGCAGACTGTCAGCTTTAATTTGAGGGTATTTACATCCAAATCAGGTGAACGGTGTAGGAATTACAACAGTTTGCAGATGTGCCTCCCACTTGTTAAGGGACCAAAAGTAATGGGACAATTGGCTTCTCAGCTGTTCCATGTCCAGGTGTGTGTTATTCCCTCATTATCCCAATTACAATGAGCAGATAAAAGGTCCAGAG